ATTATTTTTGGAACGGTAACAGCCCATTCGTTAAAATATTTCTTTTTAAACTCATTGATGTTTTCAATAAGCTTATCGTATCTTTCAAACAATTTTATCGCTTCATCCGCACCCTTTATCCTGTATACAAATTAGTTTTTCAACTTCTTATCACAAAGAAAACGTAATTAAAACAAAGAATTTATGTAAACTAAAGCAAATATAATGTTTTATCTTATTTCTCTCTATATTTTCAAAAGGACAAAAGCAAAACGAGTTTGTCTTCTCTAATCAGCAATTGTCTAAAAAGTCTACCACCATTCAGCACATTGGCGTTTCTTAATGCTTCAAAAAGGTAACGTAAAAAGTTAAAGAAGATTTTAAGCCAGTAATCAGCTTTCGCAATTTGCCCCACCCCGCTGACTTACGGGTGCGGCAAACTGCGAAAGCAGGCTATAGGCTTGGTGATCCTCGCGGCCAACATAGTCATGAATAGCAGGCCGCCTGCAACCGGCGGCATGTACAGGTCAATCTCCATGTGCCCGTACTTGTACAGACGATTTGACTGCTCCGTAAATAGTTCCTGCAAAAACAGAACAGTATTTATTATTTGAATCTTATATCATTGTTAAGAGTTTTTGTTTCTGCTTACCTCACATATTAGCAACTCTTTCTCTAACATAACAATTATTTCCACATATTTTGCAGTAAATTCATTTTTGATCAACGGTCGATCTAAAACGGATCCAACAATATCAATCAACTGTAAGGAAATTAATAGTTCAGTGTTCAGTGTGATTGTAATTGTACCTTTTTGACCATGATGTGAAACATACCTTGAAAATAGCTTCTAAAGTGGAACAGTTGTCGAAAGACTCGACTAAAACTGTGGATAATTTAAGGTCTAAATCAATAATATTTTCTTGAAACTCTTTGAAGTCTGTATTAAATGTTTCATCGTCAGGATCCAAAACATCATAGGATTTTGATGCAAATTCATGGAAATAGGCATCAAATTCAGCTGAAATGTCTCTTATTTGACCACTTAAGACACGACCCTTCATCCCTCCCACTTCTATCTTTTCAAGCTTTTGAAATTCCAAAACAGTTTTAAAAAACCATTGTATAGTATTAAGTCTATCGAGAAATTTATTCATTCGTTCAAAAACGACGTTCGGATGAAAGGTCCAAGGCACCACTGTTCGATCAATGAAATATTTTGGTAAATTTTCCTTGAAATAATCAAATGTTTGCCGAAACTTCTTTAGAATGTCAATTGTGAGTTGGATACGTTGTCTTGCTTCGTCGATGTCGCTATGAAATAGTGTGCTGGGATCCAAACATTTTTTTGCCTAAAATACGTATCCAATCAGTTGCTGTTCAAAAATATAATTAATTAAAAGTTAAAATGGTGCCTATGAAGTTACCTGATAAATGAGTAAATTGCATATTTGTTTAATAAGAACCATCAGTTTTGAGGAGCTGCAGTAGTATTTGGAATCCCTCCAAACCATACAAATCACATGAAACAGAGGTCGGAACAAAGGCTGACATTCCGTAAAGTCTGTATCTTCTAACGCTTGGAAATGCTTCTCTAATGTTTTGAGATATAAATCGATTTCATGAGCTTCTGCTAATGCTGTAATAAACAGGCTAGTAAATGTAGGAAGACTGTCCAAACAATATAATAGATCAGCAAGAAGGTTTTACATGAAAATTATGACTTCTAAACTTGTATACCTGAAACAATGTTTTTAAACAATCGACTAAAGCAAGGATAGTACGCCGATGTGGTCTTCTCAAGTATAACTGCCATACAACGAACCCTCTCTGTACGCAGCTGATCGTAAATATAGTTCAAGTTGCTTAGTCTAGATTTCCAAAAAGCTAGTTCTGCAAATACAAAAATAACTACATCAGTCATATTAAGCTACAATCATATTAAACTTACTGTTTCTGAAAAATCTATTTTTATTATCGTGCTTCAAAAGAATTTTCTATAAATAAAATTTACATAAAAATGTATTAATATCGGAGTAATTCTAACCGACATTAGGTAGCGGGTTTTGTCCGTTATCAAAGGCTTGCGAAGAATCTTCTGTCATGACGTCATTGATCTGCTGTGCCCACTTTATGACGACGCCTTCGATAGCACTCTTCAGATATAAATCGACCTCTTTCCCTTTTAATATTTCTTTTTCAGCTTCATGCACTAGTTCAACGCCAACAGGCATGGGGAGAACCGTCTGCCCGTTTACTTTACCTTTCACCTATAGCATCACAAGTCATTAATTAACTTTTAGTGGTAGTCATAACTTTTAATTTATATTATAGAAGCATTGTAATTCTAAATTTTAAACACTAAAAAAATCGGACCATCAGCCTCTGCTGTTTATTTGTTTGTAAAATAAAAAACGAAACTTATAAACAGTATTTTATTTCCGTATTGCGTACCTCGTATACGGTGCTTTTGAGATTGTGAATTTGTTTGAGAATATCTTGTGACACAACCAAGGGCCAGCCCTCATGGTTCAGAGGGTTGGAGAGCAACGGCACGAACACCTCGTCCACTAGTGATGCCAGCTCGTCTATCAATCTTGGTGCTAAATCACCTGGGTTCAAACGTATTCTTGCTTAATTTAATTACGTAAAAACCTTTATGCCTTTGAAGGGGGTTATGCTAGACTGCCTCATAATTTGGTGATTTCCTTTTTGTTTGAAATGTCATAATCAGTTAAACTAGATCTTTACTTACCAAATGACCATATACTCACCAAAAATAACCATATCAGCACAGTTCTCTTTGGGGACGACATCGGGTTTCTTTTTAATGTAATATACTGCTTTATTTTTTAAACAACAAGGAAAAGATATTACGGGAACAAGCTGAGCCGCGTGAGTTAAAACTACAACCAAAAGTAAAGGAAAAGGCTTGTCTACGAATTCTTTTAGTATACTTCTGTGCTCTTCTACGCTCACAAGTCGCATCCATTTCTCAGGTTTGAGTTTAAGCGACTTTACAGCGTAAGAGCCGATGAAATCGAATCGAGGATCTTGGTTAGAAGTCGACGGACCTGGCTGGTCCATTTTTGAATAGAAACTTATATCAACATCTTGAGGACGGAATCAGTATTGCTGGCTCTTTGTACGACTGCTGGAGAAGTATTGAAAGACGAAGAAAAGGAAAAGGCTTGGAAAATAGCAAGTCACGCAAGTCAAACGCGATGTCATTATGAAACGTCTCCTTTGTAACGAGCTATAAACTTTACGAAAATAGACCAGCATTTACGGTGTGCAGAAAATGACTTTAGTAGTTATAAGTAGTAAATTACAGCACTTGATACTAGAAAGAAATATTAAATAAAATAAGTAATTACCATCAAAGAAATCAAAAGAGTGTAGAGAGGTTTTAGATTTCAGAGCTTTACCTTTAAAATGACCTTGAATAGTGTTCAGAAAATTATTACTTATCGAACCAAAATACTTTACCTACCTATCAGATATTGAGTTTAAATCATTTCTTATTAGTTTCTTAAACTTGTGAAAAATATATCCTAAATAAATTTTTATTGTTTGATATTTGTGTTGACCGTACATGTAAGCAGAAGTAAAGCAGTGCCAGGCAAAAGGCGCGCCACCCTGCGACCGCGCGACGGCCAGACGACACTCGCACGACGTCGCGAATAAGGTCAACCCATACCATACCCTTTGTCACAAGCTATAAGCGACAGCGATTATAATAAAAAATAATTGAAAGAAGAAACAAGCTTTTGTTATACAAAAATACAAATTACTCATCAAAACGATTAAAACGAGCCCAAACTAGATGAGGTTATGTCGTTTTATTGCGAAGTTCCTATGGTTATCTTCCAATTCCATCACCAGAACAGCACCCTGTGATCATAACATTGTATTGTCACGTGATTTACAGATGAATGAAAAATTTAAGCTTAATCACAATATCTTCGATCCAATTTAATTCGCAAGATTGGATTATAGACATCTGGACAAGTGAAACTAAATAACAGCTTGCAATAATGATAGTCGTAAATATAAAGAGAATTGTCGTTGTGAAAGTGGAAACGTTTTTATTAACGGTCCTTTCAACCACTACCCAGAGCAACCATATAACTAAACCACAAAGTGAAGCCTAAAGAAGTATCAAACGCAAAGCGTTCATAGTTGTGTATTGCCTTAATTAGCTGCAACTTTTGCAAGTTAATGAGTGTCTGGTAAAAGTATTTTGACGTCTGCTTACAACTTCAACAGTATTTGAGTATAGTGTTTTAAGAGTAACAATCTGATGAATGATATTTACATTTCGTCGAAAGACAGACGTCTTTTCTTCGATTTGTAAATACGTATTTTCTTTTGTCTTGGGCCAAGCATCAAGTAAAAATATGAAACCCGATTACATAAGATGCAAACTAAAAAAATGTTGATATCATGTCATGTTATACTTTCAGTTTATCGATTAACTAAAATATTAACCCAACTTGTTCAGGTTTCGGAAGATTTCAATTACTCACGTACTTTACAAATTCAAAGATATGAAATCAACCAACTCGCATTGGACCAGTGTGGTCGATTATGGCTTAATCACCCTTAGGGTACATGCTGAGCGCCTCAGTGGGGACGTATATTGAGCTTATGATGATGTACTTTACAATTACTAAATATTTTTTTTAATATGTTTAATGTATTTGACGCCAAATTAAATATGCAATACTTATTAAAAATTCTAATTTTTTTTACTATTCTTATGAAGCGTAAACATTTTACCGGATCTAAATCATAATGAAAACTAATGATAATTAAAAATCAATTAAAAAATGAACTACTTTCAATTCTATTTGAATATTTTATAATCTATATATTACACAAACATTCTTTATAAAATTTACTAGTACGTTGTTTCAACTACCAATATTAAGTTCAAATCTATTTACTACAATTATTAAAAAAAAGGAATTAAATAAAAATAAATACTCCAGATATTTTTATAATACATTTATTGATAATGACAGCGATGTTTGACTGAAATCCGCTACTTGGCAAAAATATTTCCACTAAAAGTGAACTATTTTTGTAATTAAATTTTAAAATCTCTTTACTCATGCTTATGTTTACAATAATGAAGATCCAACCAATCTATTGCTACAGAGTAGCTGCCTATACCTAGGTTCGCTATCACGTAAAAATACATAAATTTTTGTGGTTCAAACTTGTATTCGCACAGTTAAAAAAACTAGCAAATTAATATAACAATTTCATTATAATTAAACGAAATTCAGTTAAAATTAAATATACGCACATTTAAGCTCATTTAAGTTGATTTTTACTGCAATAAATATAAAGTTACAATAATACAACTATAGGATCATAAAATTATATAATAAAACAAATAATTTCATTTAACTACAAAACTAAACATTTTTAAAACAAAAGCACAGCACATGTTCAGCTTAATTTCTAAAAATAAAAATTAGGAGCTACAAGAGGCTGAATTAAGGTCACTATTTGCCTAAACCTAGGAGACCTAGTGCTTATTCCGCCACGAACCAGCCATCCGCCTAACAAACTCTCAACACTGCATTACCAAGATTATGAGATCAAGGAAAAAAATTTTCCTTAAAAAAATTCTAGTTAAAAAAATAACATGAAAATTATGAAAAGAATTAACATTTAACAGGTTTTGAGATAATTTTAGAAAATGAAAAAATATAGTAAAAAAAGTACTTTTTTCACAAAATTAAAAGTTTTTTTTCAGTAAATTTCTTTTGGTAACGATGTTGCGAGTTTGTTTCGGCGTCGTGTCCTCACTATAGCTACTGGACAAAAGCACATCGAGAGTTTCAAAGACACATTCTACTTTTATTTTTGATAATTTTCAATACTTCATTTATATTCCTTTACTTTGGACTACACTTTGAGCTTTACTTTTCGAGTCCTAGAGGCCGGTTTATTAACAACAATACGTATAGTTTCAAAATGCAATAAACGAATGCAATCCAAATATCGTCTATAAAAATCTAACTTACGATCGAAAATTATTTCTATAGAATGTCTGTTCGTTACAAATGCAAGATATTACAATTAAAAAAAAAGATTATGGAATGTTTAAGTACCAAATTTGAAGCACGCGATGTCGTGTAATGTGAAGCTTGCGATATATCAACGAACGAGTTAAATCGAGTGCGTACAATCTGATATATTCCGTGATAACTTCAAATTTTACGAGAAATGTCTTACAATTAAATATGTTAATATACAATATAGTGTACAATGTAGGCAAGTGGCGGGCTAAGATGAACGCACGAGTGAAACCCTTACAAATACTAGATAAAGAGGCGTATTTATCTATTCAAGTGTACTCATTTAATGTACTTAGGTACGATTACTTGACTAAGAGGATGGAATATACATTAGGTGAGCTAGGCTACAGCCGCGACGGGCGACGCGCTAGCCGTAAGCTAGATGTCTACCGCAGTATACACTTTCACCGTCTTATTGTTTGAATGTGGATGGAGACAAGTCGAGGACAATATGCTGTATGTATACACCGTGCCGGAACACGAACTACAAACATTTTTTTTGGTATATATTTCATTTTACATCTCAAAACTTCTACACAACCTAATTCGATATAAATTCGGAGCGCAAGTAACAAGCGATAATTATTTATGAATTTTATTTATTTACGATAGAAAATGTATTTTAAAATAAATATTGAGCAGGCAGTAAAATTAGGCAGTAATATTTGAAATGGTCCGTATATTAACCGCGTGCGCTTGTCACTTGCGCCGGGCTGCGGGTCCGGTGCGTGTCCGGTGAGTGTCCGGATCGTGTCCGGTACGTGTCCGGTGCGGGGGGTCATATGACAGTCGGATGCGTACATGTACTAAGTACCAAAGTCTTTTATCAGGACGAAGATGTGAATTTGGACGACTCTTTATTGTTATTATGAAAGGAGCGTTTTAGGGACGGGCTTTTTAAAAAATATACTACAAATATTAAGTCGATTATTATCTTTTAGTCCCGTGGCAAGAAACTATCACATCGGACAGGCAGAGTTACATTAAACGTCTAACCTGAGCAAATTAATTTTGGACAAAATAAGTACATTGTGATTCGTAAAAGAAAATGACCAAGATTGGATCGGAGAGGAATTTAAGTTAGTCAAATCTAATGTACAAGCAAACACCATACTTGTAAACAAAACCGTTTTTTTATCATATCGACAGATTAGTGTAGTCAGTGTTTCCATTTTTGTCGTATTTAAAAATAAAACAGTTGCATTACATTAGTGAAATACAAGCGAATAACTATTGATAAAAATAATTTATCATAAAGCCTAACCACAAACTATACAATAAAAAAAAACCACTACAATATCGTAAATCTTCATCAGCGATCACAAACCTATCATTGGCTATAAAAATTATTAATACACACACAAAGATTCACATATTTACATCGAAATCAAAATAATATAAAAATTAAATCACATGTTTTATTTATTTAAAAAAAATGTCAATCCTATATACACAATTATTTCTCTAACGATCAATGAATAAAATTATTATGAAATTACATTAAAATAACAACTAATGCAACACTAAATATAATACTACTAGTGCACAATAATATGATACTTGTCAACTATGACGTCAGAGCACTCCCGAACAAATAGGTATTTAGTTGAATATCAAGTACCATGTTATGGTGCACGGGTAGTATGTAGTAGTGTGTCGAGATATGCGCTGAAACGTCCCACCGTCGTATGCTTATTGAGCTCTCAACAAACACGAGGGGAATCGTTTCCTTCAACAAAACTAATTCGTTTAATGGACATAATTGAAATAAATTACAAATTAAGGCATACAGTTATTGCTTTGCCCACTCAATAGTTACATTTAAGTTAATATAATCGCCATAAGATTTTATATACTAATTGTTTATCTATAAATAAAATCTTATGGAGATATATAACGGGGGTAATATAAAGCACCATAACGCGTAAAATGTGCAAACAAAAGTGGGGGGGTGTTTGGAGGGATATGAAGTGTTATGTCAGTATGGACGTCCCTGACTGTTGGCTGTTGGTTGTTGACTGCTGGCTGATACTTGCTGGTGTTTATTTACTCCGCGTTTTAGTCCCGAGCATGTTTATGCTCTCGCCGCGACTCCGCGACCGGTGCAAGTTGTGAACACCATCAACTGAAAACATTAATTATTTTATATTGAAAATAACGCCATCTAATTCTAAGAAAACATGTCACTGAACCCATGCGGGTTTTTTTTATATTTTAATATATCATTGTAAAGAAAGTTACAAACTCTTACTTATTTAAATATATAGAATTAAATTATTGTAAAACTTTATAGATAGACAAACGCGGGCATAAATCAAAGTTAATTATAACAACTCACTAGCGCCACCCTCTCAATGTAAAAAATGACACAAGATCCTTGCCGTACTTCAGTGATCTTGTCATGTTTTTTTTTTTGTTTTGTAAGATTTATTAAGTGCCTAATATAATAAAATAAAAAGTTAACAATTATTTGTAGGTATACCTTTGTTATTGGCGCGGCGCAGCTCAGCATCACGGAAGGCGCGCGCGCTGCGGCCGCGCCGGTCCTGCACCAGCTTGTCGGGCCGCACGAAGATGCCGTGCCGCGCCCGGCATGTGAAGTACCGCGTGCCGCCCACAGACCCGTCGTTCTTACCTAACGCACAGGAACACAAACATTAAAAAAAACATGTAAGGACAGTGATTGGTGTTAAACGCGGCTATGCCAAATTCTAGGAATAAAATAACTCCACAAAATAAATTTATCCACCGAAATTAGATTATCCTAAAGATGTATTTACCAATAGGCGCGTCAAGCTCAACGCCGACCCAGAGTCCGTGGGCGAAGTGCGTGGGCCCGACGTAGGCGACGACGCCCGTGCCCGCGCTCAGTCGCAGCTGCACGCTCTCGCCTAGCGACAGCCACTCCGGCGCCGCGTACGTCTTGCCGCTCTCCATACACTCTTCTGTAACATGGCATATTTCGTGTAAAAGTGCTGAAGAAAACTGTACAATGTATCGAATTTACAATGAAAATCGAGTATCTTGCTTGATAAATAATTGATTATTGCTGTTACTTAAGACACAAGTCGCGTCCTCTGCAATCCTCACTAGCGATAATTATTATTTGTACGATGGAATAGTAACAATGTGGTACCATCGCCGATGCGCTCAGTGGAGGAGGCGGGCGTGTCGTCCAGCGTGCGCACGCTGGTCACGGGCTCGACGGCGGAGCGCGGCCGCGCTGCGGGGTACGAGGCGCGCATAGCCGCACGTGCACTGCCGCCCGCGCGCCGCCGCACCACCTACACATAATCACATTTTCATTTTGACAACTTTATAATATAAGAAGATAAGCAGACTGACATGAGATCTTCACATGATTTTTTGTAAATTGTAGTTATTAGTGTGTGTATTACTTTTCCTGCGGGTAGCTGCGTGGAGACTGGCGCGTCCGGGCCGGCGGAGTCACTGTCGCCGACTGAGGACGCCTCCGCGCTGCCCTCTCCGCTGCCTTCCCCGCGGCTTGACGGCTCTGAGCTCGTCGACTCCGCCTCTCCCTCGCCCTCGTGTTCGCCTGAAATACATTTACTCATAATAATAGAACTTTGCATCCAGACTCCTTCATTAAATCTCTTTAGAACTTTACAGTACTTACCGAAGGAAGTGCGCGTATCGTCGAGTGTAGAGTCACCATTTACTTGTGTATTTTCAATAGTTTTAGATGTGGGACTAGTTGATATGGGATGAGTTTCCACCGGGATGGCACCTAAAGGATCGACCAGCTGTTCGCTGTGCGCCTCCTGTGCGACCTCACAATCTCTTAGGAAGGGATTGATGCGATTCCGCGAGCCAGGCGTCAGCACCGGCGTCAGAGCGGGCGTCTTCGCTTTCTCGAACGTCGAATCATTCAGTTCGTTCTTTGATTCGACTATATCGTTCTTGAGTTCGGTAATATCGTTCCTGAGCTCAGAGATCTCGTTCTTTAGGCCGAGCACAGAGGATTTGGTGCGAGTGAACTGCGAGTAATCCATCGTCTTGTCGAAGTCTGGTGTGTCGTCGACCGACATGCTGCGGATCGACAGGGTGTCATCGTTCGTTAGATTTGTTGATGATACCGCTTGAGAACCTGTAACACGTAAATTCAAATTAATTAACTTATAGTCCATGTTTAATTATAAACAAAGAAAAGTGAGAGTGTATTTGTAACGCACCATATCCGCTGGAAGATATAGAGGGAGAGTTCTTGTTGGGCGCGCGCTCGCAGGCCAGCTCGTGTAGCGAGTCAAGCGTCTTCGAGGTGGGCAGGAAGCCGCGCGACGAGCCGCGTCCGCGCGTACGCTGCACCATAACATAACTTCATAGAAACCTTACTAGACATTATAATATGCTATTGAGTTTATGACATTGTGTCTTTTAAACCTAATCTTGTTGGTACCTTTCGAAAAAATGTTACGATTTTTTTAAGATTTCGCGGAGACTAGTAAAGTCATGTGATAAACTTACGTGTGAGCGTGGTGTGGACAGTTCGTCATTGGGCGCGGACTCTGGCTCTGAGTGTGAGTCGTCATCATTGCGACGTCCGGGCTCCTCGTGCAGCGTCGTCATGCGCAGCGCCAGCTTGCCGCTCGCCGGGGACGCTGCAAACACACGCACAACATATCTCACAAAGATTTACTAACAAAACTTTTTTCAAACAACGTTTCTACGTTTTCAAATATTGAACTAGTTAAAAATATTACTAACTCTAACACTTTCAATGCCACGGACTTTGGCGAGTTCATTTTGATACGAAAAAAATCGTAGTGGCATGGAACGTGTTAAATATGCAAAAAGTAATAGCCTCTATAAAAATGTATTCTTAACTAACATACAAAAAGAGTTTTGAGTTACAAAAAAGTTCTTTAAAATACACTAGGAATGATTATTACACTGCATAAAGGACCAAGAAATAAAAAAAAATGATTATACCAAGAAATTACAAATCGAATAATTGGAACGATGTTACAAGCTGTGCTATTTTGCGACACTTATACATCGAATGCGGTGCTTTGATGTTTTTGATGATGAAATTTCGTTTTCAATGCAATGAGTACTTCGTAATAGTAATTTTGAAATACAAAATGTATCGCCAATTCATGCTTAAAACCGAAATCCGAACGAATTTTAACATAATGAAAATATAATTGTTAAGTAAAATTTGTAAAAAACTTTGCGGCAAATTCGATCTGATCTCGGCCACGTATGTATTTAATGTCATGCCAATATCGCACCAATAACTTACTCCTAATGATTCATAGCAAATAAAAATAACACTCTTTATAAAATAAACAAATCTAGAATTAAAACTGAAATTCACTTTAAATTAGATCGAACATCCTTTTAACTTGACGGATATAATTCATAGTGAAGGAAGAATGAAGATATAAATATATTTAAGATAATAAATAACCAAATAAAATTGTCGAAATAAGCCATTCTAGCGATTCTACGACTTAAATGTGGACGTACACTTGTTCGGCGTTTGCAGTCGCAGTGAGTTCAGGTTCAAATTCAAGTTAAGGAAGGTTGGCCGGGCTGCAAGACAAATTTTAATTCACCTTATCAATGTTAGTCACTATAAAACAATATTCCAACAGATACAACATCATCATAAATTCCTTTAAAAACAAATAAATTGATTATTTGTACTTTACACTGTTAAATCAATATTACGGTAATACAAACATAATTAAAATTACATCGATGATATTGGTAATTTTTTGAATTACTACAAATCTTGTTACAATACATTAACTGTTTTACACAATCTAGTGCATGCTTAGTTTACATCGCTAACCATTAGTTTCTGAGACCAATATTTATATATAAAACATATCGCCATCCCTGTCATTATCTTTGAGAAAACAGAGATAACAATATGATTTAAACGGGGGATTTTGGTCTCTGAAACGAACGATAACACCCTTTAGTTACACAATAACAATCATACGATTGTCTACCACATGCACTTTATTTTTGTACACACAGCATCCTATTTACCGTATCACATCTCTATGACTACTATTAGTCTACACAAACACTGCCTTTCAAGTTTTTTAACTTTTAACATTACAATTGTACATCATTTCTATATCAACATACTATTACATAAGCGAAGTCATTAGTTTTTAAAGCACGTTTCACTCGTAATCCACGGCGAAATTATTTAAAGGAATAGGGAAAGGTAAACACGGGTCATGCTCTTTACATGCAAATGAAACAAACACGCAAACAAAAATCATTATACAACACAACGGAAGCTCGAACGGCTTGCTGATCCAGTTTGCATCTAATAGCTTCAGAATTAAAGTCTAAATTCCAGTGCCCAATTTTGTATACAATCGACTAACTCGTGTACGTAGCTATTAGAAGAAACAAAATTTAGAATAGCCAATAATGTCTTTGATTTAATTTCATACGAACAGCCAATTCATAACAGAACAAAATATGTCAATAGTGGAAGGATATTCACAACACAACTATTCGTTTCCATTTGATTTGCAGTTAAACATTAGTCTAATAATTTCGCCATACATTTGCCATTCCGAGTCAATACGATGTATTGTTCCTTTTACCTGATAAGAACGAGCCTGCAGGAAGCGAGGGTACATACAGAAAAAATACAACGTTAGTTCAAGCCGGCTTAATTAACGGCTCAGTGGTTTAAATCACAACACGAAATATCTATTTGAATAGATCTGAATTTGTATAAATAATTTGGTTAAAAACATCAAAAAATCTAAACTATTCAAATTAAATATTTCCAATGTATAAAGCCAATTTTGAAAAATATTTTTGTTATTAATTTTGATACAATACCTAACATAAAAAGAAAAAAAAATGAGAAGATAGTAGGAGTTGAGATAATAGGGTAATAGAGCCATAGCATTGCCACAAAGCCGGTGGGGGAAAGATGTTAAAATGTGAAATTATGGAGTCAGGTGTAACTTGTGGGAAGGTGAAGGTGTGTTTAACCCTGATTCGATATTATGTGTATTTTTTAAACAATGAATAACTACTTCTACTAATCTTTATCGTGCAATCTTATATAGACTCTATGTACTACTCAATCTATATTTAGATTTGTAGGTTTGTATTAATTCATGTGAATGGTTTCTAATGTTACAATATGCATGAGTGCGTTTACTTTGGTAAATGTTATAAGGCATAAATAAATATGAAATGCTGAATAAAAAAGATGATAGTTGGTATCAAAAGTAGGAGAACATGTTATTCTGTAAACAAATTGCTATTGTAGATCTCACTTATTTAGTTTTTACGTAAGCGATAATAAGAGGAAAATATATTTGCTATTGTAACGAACTAAAATTAACAAATATTATTGAGATATAAACCATATTCTAAAATAGTGTATTTATATGAAAAGTCGAGGAACTAACGAACTATACGCTATCAAAATAAAACCTAAACATTCAACAATATTACAATTATTGAACAGAAATTTATGAATCAATTTACAATTCAAGAAAACTTTAAATATTCATCACAAGTTTTTTCATCCTGTTTACCATTGTAACTTTTCGTCCTTACATTATTTACAATAATTGACGTAATTAAGGTTAACTGATATAAAACTCTTTGAATTCACATCGGATATAAATGTTTTCACATATCTTGGCGGCACTTAAGTTCACGCGAATCGCTGCGCGGAACGTAATGTTGGTTGTAGCAGAAGGGAGGGCAATGCGCGCACCTATGACCTTGTGCCGCCAAGATATTTGAAATAACTTATACTATTAACATATTATTAATTGAGAATAGTATACAAATGTAAACTCACCGAGTCCGAAGGATTTGGGCGGTGTGCAGGGGTCGGCGTCGTGCGCGGGCGTGTGCGCAGGCGCCGCGTACGAGTGCCGGTGTCGGCGCGGCGGCTCAACCGCCAGGTCGGCGACGCTGCCGGAGCGCGCGCTGCCCAGCCCGGAGAGCGACTCCAGAGATGAATCCAAGCGCATTATCTGTACGTACACAGAGATATTATAATGCTGTACAGAAAAAAAAACGATCAACATTTTTTTCTATTCCATAATTTTGTACTCATGCCATACATGAAAGTATGTCTATAGCTTCATATTATTCAAATTGAATTAGGTTTTTTCTCTCTTTACATTGTTGAATTGTAACCCTTCCACCAAAGTGCTAAATGCATCATCCATTTCGATAAACTGACAGAGTGTCTTGTGCTACCAAGAAATGACACCATTACCCTTCATTTTTAAGATTTTAATATTAAAGATGGGATATAACAAGCCTATAATAAGCATCAAATACCTAACATTAACATAACAATTTAATATTATCTGACATAAAAACTAAATAACGATTATAGCGTACAATATATCTATTTATTTAATATACCAATAATTTAACTAAATTATATTTACTTCTAAACTACAAATGGACACGAACGACGACGAAGAACTTAGTAATGAGCGAGAATCTTAATGCCTATTTACATAATTTGATAATACATAACATTGATAGATCTACTTCATGCAATAATGCCACGACACAAGTACGACAAGCCGCGGTGATAGTCTTAGACAGGCAACACTAACACCAACAAGCTGACAGCAACACATTGTGTTCTTTCGGAAACGAGCACCCAGTATTGTTTTGCTGGATAGCGAATTGTTTAGCCCAATTACGTCATAACAAAAGTTTACTATTTATGAATACAAATATTTAATTAAATAAGAATTAATTAGAGCAACAAAGAGTATTGTAATAAGTCTGTTATTATCAAATAATAGTACAAGAAAAATGCACAATATATTCTTTCTCGTAATTAGAGCTGAACGTGTCGCTATTGGTGCGTTATGTACACGTGGCGTGATGACGTAATGGCGATGACGTAATGGCGGTGACGTAATGGCGAGCATGCGCACTCACGTTGCCGGCGCCGCGCGCGCTGCCCTCCAGCGCCTGCGACAGCTGCGCCGCAATGTGGCAAGCGCAAACACACAATGTATCACAAACTTATGTGCCCGAATATATAATATATCTTAACTTATATCTTATATTTTAATCTAATAAATTAATGTAACATTGCTATTAACGAAAATTAAACAACATTTTTTGTCGAATTATATAACAATATAAAAATATTATTAGAAAACAATCTGTTGAAATCATTACAATGTTTAAGGAAAACATTTGTTGAATAAAATATGAACTAGAGAGTAAACAAATTCAAAAAGGACGAACGTGGAAACTATAAAATGTTTGTGCTAAAGACAAAATGAAGTGATTGTTATCAAGTTTACAAAAAGGTTTTGTGTTCACATAAACAGCTGTGTGATCGTAAAGTAAAGCCACAATATTCAAAGCAGTTAGTTGCTTATTTGTAATTATAATCTGACACAATTATATTAATAAATGCAAATCTGTTAAAAGCACTTATAGAAAAGGCGGATATTAGCAGAAACTGCAATGAATAAGCGGCAAATGGCAACATTGATCGATGAAGGTACATAAAATGTGGACTTACGTCGCCTCCGCAGATATGAATAGTAAGGCGACGCGCGTCCGTGTGTCCGGTCTCCTCGTCCTCGGGACTAGCGTCTCGCAGTAGCCAAGGGAACGTACGGCGAACTAACTGAAAGAGCCGAAACACGGTCCAATGGGCCTTTGACATCTGCTGAGGGTCTTTGGTGCACTTCATCAACCAATACAGCCATTCTTTATTTTAATTTATCTATACCTTTATTTTAAAATAAAAGCTGCGATTCAACAAAAAAATATTTTTTATCTATGAAACCGACTTAAAGGGATATCGTATGTATAAAGTAGTACAAAAATATTTTTTTAAAATCGGTAATTGATTAAAACATCGATATGCCCTTAAGCTGGTAAAATTGAAAAGAAAACTCAATTTAACTTCAAATATGTCTTCCATTGTCTGTCTTACTTTACTATAATTTTTTCCGGTGGTAAAACATAACTTAGGAAGACAATTTAAAGTATCAAACAAAAAAAAACACAACGATTTTGATGTAACATGATTTGCCTTTACAACATCTCACGGGAAATATGAAAGGCGTAATAATGAAACATGTAAATGTAGTGGCGTGGGGCGGGGCATGTGGGCGTGTGGGCGGGGCGTGTGGGCAAGTGGGTGGGGTGTGTGGACATGTGGGCGGTACCTGTGAGAAGTTGGGCACGGATGCTGTCTTGCGCATGGTGAGGCTGTGACCGCGAGCCTGCTCCAGCTCGCGCACCGCCACGCTCTGCCGCAGTCGGTCCAGCGTCAGGATGCTCTCCACCGCGCTCACGCCGCGAGTGTACTTCTCTGTAAAATGCAACAAAAACATTATTGCATATGTAACCTATGTCACCCGTAATATAGGGTAGGCTCCGAGCCACTCAGTGGGGGACGTATAGTGAGCTGATGATATCTATTTGAATGATATTTATTAGAAGCTTAAATTAGGAAGACGAAATTTTTTTGAACTTACTCATCTCAAAAAGTGTTGACTGGATTTAGTTTTTTTTGCATTTGAAAGCATTTTTTTTACTTAGATTTTATGGGCCAATACTACACTCTTAAGTAGCTGACTACGAATAAGCCATAATTTATCATTATATGATTTTATACAATAGTATGAAGAATTATATAAATGTATATAACTATATCGTACCTATGTAGGTCTCGCCGTCGGCGGCGCTGGCCTCCTCGCCTGTGGCTGCGATCTGCGCGAGGCTCTCGCGCTCCTCCAGCTCCTCCGACGCCTTCGGGATGTTGGACACCACCTCGTATGTCACACCCGTCTGCGTCAGCTGGTCCGTCCTGACACATATATGTCACCATCACATGACAATCATTCATTTCGATGTCTGATAACCGCATTCAATGTTTTAATTCATATAAGATATTTAGTAATCAAAATCTACTCTAAGGTTCTCGGTTATTAATAAATTAACAACTCTGAGTGAGGCAACGAGTCTTAAGTACAGATTTTATGCTCGACTTAAAATAGTAAAAGTATTCGCTAAATTGAAGGAAACAGTATTCAAAATTTGAAGAGAAGCAAAAAATTTCATTTGTGCCTTATTTACCTGACAATTTTCTTCCGTATCCTGTCAGTGAGGCTTTGCCGCTTGTATATGTTGAGCGCGAGCCGCTTGCGCAGCACCAGGTCCATGGGCGCGGGGTGCGACAGACGCACTGTCGTCTTTAGAATCAGGTACACACGTTCGTTGGCTGCAACATCACAAGCTTTATTAAATAAAAATATAAAAGGAAAACGGCAATTTTAATCTCAGAAACCATAATCGTTGGTGCTGCAACTAGTCAAAGTGTAAATTGGGATCATACTAAATATGTATTAAGCAATGTTGTCATCAGTACGTATTCCAAAATCTAGTTCTACGATTAAACGTACGATAAAAAGTACGTATTGCCTAAACTTGATGTTTTAAATATTTTCAGTGACTAGATTATAAACTTAACGTACTGTAAATATTGTATTGATTGTACTCACGTTCAGTTATCCTGTTGAGATACTGCGAGTCGTGTATAGAGGAGTCCCATGAGGCGACTGCAGCAACGTCCTTGTCATGATGGTGCAGCAAATGCAGCTCGTAGAAGCGGTGGCCGTGTTCCTTCGGCAGGATAGAGTTCAGTCCCGCCACCGTCACCTCCTCGCCCGACGGGTGCGTGCTTAGATCGTCCGCTGCAATACCATACATATTGTCATCCCTCACTTTATACTTGAAAAAACTGAGATAGCAATATGTTTTTGTTTTATTAAGACATAAATTACCGTTCAAGTCTAAGAACAGGACAGGTATGTGTTGCTCCATGCCAGGCGGTGGGTTCCACGCGGCTGGCGCGCCCGGTATCGGGCTGCCGGGACTAGGCACCAACACCTACAACACAAAGATATCTCATAAATTTACTAAATAAATATCAGTTAGGGATATGCCTTAAATATATTAAAAAACAATACTGACTGCGTTCCTTTCTTCCGTGAGCGAAACCCATTGCTCCACGAGGGACTGTTCCCTCTCCATATCACGTTCGCTCTTCATCGACGGAGACATGTTCACCAATTTCTAAATACAAAACAAAAATTAAAACATACTTGTAATATTATTTTTTTAAATAAATAAACTAAGTTTAATTAAACATCATTATTGTAAAGTGGTGGGATAGGCTACGTTCAGCCTTTTATTGTGTAATCAAAGTGACAGACCTGTAGCTGTGCGTGCAAGTGTTGCCGGCGCCGCGCTAGCGCCTCGCTCCACCGCTCCCGCAACACCGCCAAGTCCTCCTCCTGGTACGAGTCTAGTGGCTTTTGTAGACGAGATCTGTTAATATTTTAAAAAATCGATATCAACTTGTTTCACATCCCTAATCGCATAGGGTTGGCACAACTGACAAACGTGACATTAGTGACGTGTATGAGAGATACCTGACAGTGACAGAGCCGAGCTCGACGCTGACAATGTGCTGGCAGATGATAGGCAGCGTGCCCGAGTTTTGGGCGGGACGCACGCGTACCGCCACGCGACGCTGCTGGCCCTGCCGCAGCTGGTACACGCCCCCAGTCACCATATCGCTGCGCTGCGTCACCTACGATAGACGAACTCTAAATTAGTATATTTATATTTGCATTGTTTCTGAAAATCGCCCATTCTCTCTCATTTTTCTTTTTCTTTTTACAATATGAAAAAACAGTGGTAGTTCGTAACAGTTACACATAAAATGAAGCCAACAGGTTGTGTGGTGTGTACCTCGACAGGCGCGTACTCTCCGTTGTCGTTGAGCTCGTGTATCTCGACCCAGAGCTGTATTTTACGCGTGAGCTCCGCCCAGCGGTCGGCCAGGGAGCGCGCCTTGGCCAGCTGCCGCTGCTCTACCTCCCAGCTGCCACGCGCGCGGCTGAACCCTGCCGACCGGTGGCCCCACACCTCGATTGATAGGGCGCCCTCTGCACACAAAACACAAAATGCATTTTAAACTAAGTCATCACTTAGAACCGACAAGCACCAACTAGTCTTATAAACTATTCAAATTGTATTTATTTTATAGGGACTTACCGGCGCAATGTTCCACAAACTCTTCAGTGAGAGGCAGCTTAAAGTCTCGCTTGTGGTCGAAGCGGACAGTGAGATGGCTGGCGTGGGCGGGGCCGGTGCGTGGGGCGGGGCCAGTGCGCGGCGAAGGGGGCGGGGCGTCAGGCACGAGGGGTGGCACCACGACGGGGTCGCCCCCTCCCCACAGCGAGTACTGGCAGAACACGAAGTGCGACAGCGACGGCGGTAGTCCTGTCGCTTGCTTTACGCTCACACGGATCGTCACCTACAGGAAAAAAATAACAATCGATAATTTCTTAAATAGAATTTTTGAAGCAAGCCGATAGTATTAATATTCTAGGGCTGTCACTGCTGATATCGAGTTATAAATGGTAATGACAATTGTGACAGACCTGCTGTGATGCCTGGTCGACAAGTTCTTCGTCGTCTCGCATGTCGCCGGAGCTATCGGACGCCGCCTCGCAGATCCTGTCTTGAGGGAACTGACCCGCCACTCTGCTTATTTCCACCTTTATAATAAACACAAACACAAATAACATTATTATGTTATGTCAGATGTTTTTGTTCTACAATTTTAGTATATTCGCATTATACCTGCAGCCTGCCCGCCACCTCGCCCTGCTGGCTGATAATGGGCGTGTGGTAGTCGAGGGTCACGTCGTGGAACAGCGCCTCCAGGAACACGTTCGCCACACCGATCAGGTTGTGGTTCTCTTGCGACTCGTAGAATGGATCCAGAGCTTTGTCACATGATTCCTGATGATTTAAAATAAACATTTTATAAATTGATTTTATATTTGTAAATGAAAAAATAATAAACATTTTAATGAGTCAAAGATAAATGTAAAATTTAATATTCAAATATAATTTTGTAAATATTTTTTTATTTTAAAAAATCACATAAAACATATAAAAATGTGACATCAAGAAATTTCACTTAGACTTACCAAGCACAAAAATATACTTACTATTTTTAAAAGTTACAAAAAATATATAAGAATGAAGAAACAGGAGGTGTTCATCAAAACATTGAAATGTGATGAAAGCATTCCTATAAATCATGCAATAAAAAAAGTATAATTGCAAACATTTTTTTTTAATTGATGTGAGATTGAGTGAGATAAAAGATTCGTAAGAAATAACTGAAAAACGACTAATAAAAATTATTAAAACTCCATACTATCTACGTGGCTCTATACTAAGTGGGTGGTACAGTAACACCGAAAAGTTGATAAAAATTTAAAAATGATTTATTTGTACAATTAACGCACCGTTGGCGATTCTGCATCTAATTGTACTGCTTCCTGAAAGTTTTATAATATTGTTGTATTTACATATATTATTTGATAGTTGCATTTTTTATATCGAAGAATATTTTGTAAATGTTAACTACATTTTCCCTTCCAGTTAATTTTAAAACATTTGGGTTATAACTTGAGACTATTGTGACACACAAGTCAAAAAAACAATTTACTCTTTAACTGTTTCCTTAAACTAATATTATCTGGCAGAAACATTATTGAGTAATGAGTTATAGGTTAGTATTAGTGGCAAATAGCTTATATGTCTTTATTAGAGAGTAATTGCTTATATATCTTTATTATATATTAGAAAGCAATGGCTTATATGACTTTCGAGTAATGGGTTATAAGTCTATAAGAGAGCCGTGAGTTAAAGGAGGTTCTCGGTGTCGGTATGTTTACCTCTTCGGGTTGCTGCTCGCCTCGCTGCTGTCGCCTGCGCCAGTCGTCGTACATGTCGCGCATGTCCACGAGCTTGTTGTCGAGCTTCTCCATGGACCACACCTGACCGCCGCGCGTGCCGCGACGCACCATTATCGCCGGCTCCGATACGAATGCACCTCGCTATAACATATTTATACATACATTGAGTATAAAACGTACATTTTTATTATGAATTAAATATAAAAAAGCGGTAGAGCTGTAAATTATTAACATCATCGGAGATAATTAATAAGATAAGGAGATAAGATTTCCGTATAAAAAGAGGTTTGACAGAGAGAGGTGTGTGCGTGGGGTGGGGTACCTTGCGGTTGGGCGAGAGGTTCTGGGGCGGTATCTGCAGCGTGACGCCGAAGCGCGTGTTGCGTCGCATCTCCTCAGCGAGGAAGTTGGCCTCCTGCACGAGCGCGTTGGCGCGCAGGATGTCCGCCTTCAGGCGGCCCAGCGAGCGCCGGAAGGTGTCGTCGCGCTCCGCCGCCCACCGCTCCACGCGCGCCGCCGTCGTCGGCGTGCACGCGCTCATCTTACCTACACACACCATCACGTACATTACATCTTTACTGTCGCTTATAACTTGGTCCCTATCACAGTCGATTAAAGTTAGGCAACCTATCTATAGTTTCCTATCTCAATAGACACCGGTCACTTCGCTATTTCGGCGAGTTAAGGTAGCCTCTTGCTAATTTGCCACCTTATAATATAAAATAGGTTTCCATTATTAAAACACTTGTATAATCAATTACTAACCAAGTTTCAATGGGTCGTATGAGTAGGGCGGGTAGGGCGTAGTGGGCGATAAGATGTTTCTCAGCTGTTGGAACTGACGCTCGTATTCCTGTCTCTGTTTCTCCAGTGCCACTGAAACAATAAGCAACACTAAATGTAGATACCTTTAATACGGCATTAACATAAAGTGCATTCATTCACTCAATCAATCATTCGTTCACTCTGCCATTCATTCATTCCTGGGTGTATACCTTGTTTGTCCTCCTCGTGCTGTCGCTCGAGGCGCGAGATGGCTGTCTGTATGGGGTCGTTGCTGAGCTCGTTCAACATGATCTCGTCGCGCGCAAAGTTGTAGTCAATCGGCTGCGCGGGAGTCTGCGGCTCCGATGCTGCCGCCGCTAGAAATACGAATATATACATAAACTTTAATAGTTAACATTTTAGACCGAGAGAAAAATGTATTTAATTTAAACTTTAAAAAGTCCTGTAAAAGTTTATTCTTGAGTTGTTTAAAAATTTCCTCGTTCACTAACTTGTGTCTTTGGGACAGTTGACTCTGAAGAAGTGATGGTTGCCCCACAGTATGCGGTCCCCGTGTCCGAGGCGGGCGGGCGCGCTGACTGGTGCTCCGTTGAGGAAGCAGCGCGCGCCGGCCCGCGGCACCACCAGCAGCGCGCCGCCCTCCAGCACCAGCTCGCAGTGCTGCGGCTGGATGCCCAGACCCGACAGCTGGATGTCTGCCGACCTGTCCGCACCCACAAGCGTACGATCCTGATAAAAAAATACAAAAACATTAGCGGAGAAGTTTTATCTTGTTACGACTTTTATCACTTACTATTAGTTTTCGTGGTCTTAATGTAAATTTAAAAAAAAATGATTTAATTTGTTAACGAAGAACAATAGTAAAACAAAAACAAAGGATATAATTAACAATGGTTCATAGCGGCCAGATGCTGAGTATACAATTAGCCGTGTTGACCCAAAGTACAGATATTTCATTCTCTAAATGTATTGTGATATTTACTGTGATGTTAACTTACTTTTAAGTAATATACGAGTAGTTCGTTGAGCGAGGGATCCGCGTTTAGGTTGACGAGGTAGTACTTGTTCTTCTCCACCTTGATTCCGCTCGCCTGCACGCTGATGCCCATCTTCTCCAGCGCATGCTGCCGCTCGCTTTGGATCCGACCTGACATAATTGTTACTATAAGAAAATGTCACTCGGGCGTTCCATACTAAACCCAGAATGTTTTAGTCTTGGAATACGTCGCGGTAAAAATCAGGTCAAAGTTAACAGAAACTAACCTGTTTCTACAAGTTTCTCCTCCCACGTGCGCGACATTTCCTTCATCAGGTGCTCGCTTTGAGCCAACTGCTCATGCACATCCTCGCCCACGGGTGAACCCTGCAAAGTTTTAATTCAAACTTCACAAACGTCTTCAGTTCCACTATAGAGTAAGTGATTGAGTGAATGACTCATACCGTGGCGTGCTTGAGCATCTCCTTGAGCGCCTCGACCTCCTGTCGCAGTTCGCGGATGATGCGTGCGTTGGGGTCCTCGTTGACCACGGCGTGGTTAACGATGCGCTTGGCGCGGTCCGCGTACCGCAGCGTCGACAGCGTCTCCTCGTAGTTGTCCGCCGCGGGGGACACCGTCGCCACCTACGGGATACACAGACACATTGGTATCGTATAAACAATAATAGTAATACCGACATCAAAACAAGAACTAAAAAATCATTAAATAAACATTTTAAAATTCGCACAGGGTTTTTGAAAAACATACCATGACAGTCTTGCTGTTGCCACCCAGGTTGTCCTTCAACAGCCATGTGAGCACGGAGTCCCTGTAGGGCACGAACTTATCGCGGTTGGTCTTGCCCGAGGACTGGTCCGCCAGCTTTGATATCACCAGGCCGAGAGTTGTTAGTGATCTGCATACGGAAAAGGTCAAAATATTAAGAAAATAAAAGGATCACCGAGTACAAATAAAATACATACAATTTTATATAATTCAATGTTGTTATGGATTATTGAAGGTAGAAAGGAATCCTTAGTAAAGCTTTCCACTTCAAGGCAAGCACTTTATAGGAAAACTTTCGTCACTTTAACGTTTCCCTGATTTAATGACCGGAGTTTAAATTGCGCAGAGATTAAAGTCTACCTTCCTGTAGCAATTAACATAACAACGAATCTAAAACTTTACCTTGCTCTGATGTTATCAGTTTTGTATTTACTTAAGTAACTACATGTACAGAATTCTAAATATATCAAAACCGTTGCCGGACATTTTAAAAAGCTTACTGTTGGAACAAGCGTCGTAGTATTTCACATATCAAATCTTTTTTATTTTTGTTGGGGCGGCACTATGCCGCCCTGCTGCTCCCCCTGGTATGTTGTAGCCAGAGACTTTTGGGTTCTTTATTAATAATCATAAAATTCTTACGCTAGTTACTTATAACATAATACTTGATTCCTTACTACTAATTTAAAAACAATGCCATGTAAAATAAAAGTAATGAAATTGCTGTTTATTTACAGTTAAAAGTTGCTTAAAATTTCAAGATAAATAACACACACACATACCAAATTGTACATAGCACTGTGACATACTTATTTATATTAGATCCTTCTTTAAGTCTGTCGCCGACCGCGCCGGTCTTGACCGCACGCTCTGAACCTGCCAGGTCCACAAGAGAGAGACGAGCCACTTTCTCTCCCGATACTCCGGTCGCTGCGTCCGTCAGTGTTTGCGTTAGAACCACACTGAACACGGCGTGAGACCGCGATGACTCGCTATTCATATTGGTAGCTGCTACGGTACGTGACTTGTTGCCCTCCGTCATCAAGTTGTCGATGTCCTAATGGATTTTACACAATATGTTAATTAAATCTTAAAGTAGCTGAAAATTTTACCTAGACTAATCCAGCGTTAAGTGGCTAAAACGGCTGCTTAATTAAATGGTCACAATATGAAGGTGTCAACTGATTTAATATTGAACACAATACCCACTGCTATCATACTTTAAGAAATAATATCTTGTGAACTTTTTGTATTACAACAATAAGACCAACTTTGCGTGTAACTTTTCCTTCTGTAAACTAGTTTCTTTGCAAATTGAAACTTATTTTCGTTTCCTTATTGATATTAAACGATTTATGGGAGCTCTCTATCGCGTTGCAAGTTTAACAAGTTTCTAGATTATCCAACATGTCGAAACGATCTCAAACTACTCCGTTAGAGTAGAAACTGGGATATAGTTACAAGCGCAAGATACAATTAGAAACGATGCGTTCACTTAAAATCGATAATCTAAAATGTTTGGTTTATCAGTACACTAAATTAAAATTAAAGTAAAATTTGTTCGATTTAATTAGCTAGCAGTACATATTGTTAACTACGAGATAATTAAGAGACAGATCTATACATAATATACATTATGTTTCACGTTAACCACAAAGCATATCGATTGTTCGACATCACGTTCATTAGAGTAGAGTATATAAGAGTATATGATGAAGTTATATACACAGCTCTGTATCGAGATGTCTATTATAGAAGTTGATAAAAATCTCGATATAATTTAGTGTCGTACACGTGTAGATAAAACAGGCCTGTCTAGAAAGTAGAGCAAAATAAATAAAGGCAAACGAATCCAAGTAAATAATTAGAAATAACAGAACGTTATGTTACGTCACGAGCAGATGATGGATTCGAGGTAAATGGCAGATAAGTAATTCGTTTCGCAAATGGAAATTTCATATTAGTCCCTTCACTTGTCTTTGTAGAAGTAATAAGGTAAGACTGATTATTTATCTGCCTCTTTTCATAATAAATTGCTTTCTTTTTTTTGGTATAAGTATAATATGAAAATTAAATAGGCAATAGCTTAACGGTACCTGACATGTGGAGATAACGTCCGTTTTTATAAGTCGCATTCGAACTCTTGCTGTAATATCGAAGTAATACAACCGCTTGAGTACAAAATTCTTTATTAAAAGAACATTGAAATACTTTGACAGTAACATAAAACAAAAAGGAATTTATACAGTCGTTTGTAAAAGTTTATTACTTTCAGGGACCGCAACAAAGTAAAACAAAACCGCAGTGGCAGTGGGTCGGCGAACAAATTCGGTGACAGGGCAACTCCGACGACTACGGCACCAACGAAATTAAATTACACTAGCTGTGACCCGCGATTCCATCCGCGCGGAACTAATAAAAGCTTATTAAGTAGACTATGTGATCTTCTTCAACATTTCATAAAAATCCGTTTAGCTGTTCCAGAGATACCTTCAAGCAAACAAACATCAATCCAAACATTCGCATTTATAATATTAGTGAGATTGCTTCCAATGCGAACGCTCCAACAGTCTTTACTCCTATTTCGTTATTACAGGACTACTAATATTTAAACATAGTTTTAATGTGAACAGCACTGTATTGTGCTATAATACGTCCCGGTTTTGCCCTAGTGTGAGTTTAGGTTTACTAATGCATCGTTGTTGCATGTTAATATACTCTCAAACTTCACTAAACTAACGGAATCGCTGTTTGCAAAGCTTTAATCAGGAATGCTGATTGCTTTCAAGGCTTGATTCTGAAGACATTTAACAATATATACTAGAGAATCAACTTGATTAAATCCGTTACAATTATCATATAGAAGTTCACACATTAGTCCATTCTATGAATACCGACTTTGCGCTACCAAGTTTCTAAAGTTGACAAAATGTTTTATGAAACGGTCTAGAAAAATGCTTCACACATACTTCGTAAAACAATAAAATAAAGTCGGGACCCAAACCGCAAATAAATTAACATAATTTCTCATTCAGTATTGATAGCTCGCGGCTCGCGGCTCGCAGCGTACATCAGACCGTATGATTGACTGCGCCTACTTATTTATACAGAACATTTACATTCATGCAACAATACTTACATTCATCTTTTATCAATTTAATTTTTTTTGTACTTTATTTCCAAATGAATTCCTTAATATTACCCGAAGTGGTAATAAGTAAAACAATTTTGAAGTTCACATTAAACTTACGTATATAAATACAATTGTAGTTTTATAGTATTTTAAATTTAAACTATGCTTCGTTTTTACTCTGAATGTGAACACTTTCAATTTAGATAACCTTACTTGGATATTTATTTATACTAACTCTAACAATGGTTCTAGTTTAATATTTATAAGAGGGGACCGTGGCTCACGTTAAGACAATTGCAGACCCAGATTATTCATTCATCGCTGTGGAATAATTAAGGGATCTGTCTAGCGTAACGTGCCAAATATAAATCTGATGGAATTTTAATAATAAAAGTGTCCCTATGTCTGAAACCTAAAACATTTATTAATGTCGTCTGTCGTAGGTGATATTGAGCGTCGGTGGCTCAGGGGTCAAGCACTTGACTTGCAATCTGCAGGTCCTGTGTTCGAATCCCGCCATGTATCAATGTATTTTTCGATTTTAGATTTACATATGTACATTTATCCGACCTTCGGGCTTGGGCACAAACAAGTCCGTTAACTCAGCTTAAGGGACAGTAGAGCTAAATTCTTTACCGTCCACTTAAGTAATTCTTCTCTGGCGCGTCCACGTCGCGGGGGTGGACATCACGTCTTCCAGTAGGCCGGGAGGTGTTGATGACTAAGTTCAGCTGAAGGACCCAGTGCTGTGGGGTATAACACGGCTCCCTGCCTGGGGTTACAGGTGAGACCTCAACGGTGGTAATGGCGAAGATGTTTCCAAAAACAGCAGTCGGCAGCAGAACCAGCGGAAGAGGCAAGCCTTGTCATAAAGGCGTAGTTTTTATGACCTGGGGTTGAAAGCAGCAATACCAGTACTTGCATAAGGACAAGGCTACAATAGCTTAAAGGGCTTATGTAAGATAGTTGTGGGCGCAGTCGACATCTTCGGCACGACGGCCACGGCACTGCGATGACGGAAGGCAACGGGATACCACCGTCATTATTTTCCCTAGTAGTCGGCACAATGGACAGTACAAGGAAAGATATGGCCTCGAGTCTCCGGCGTCCCTTAAATGGGACAGGGGTGCTTAGAATCTCCGGAGGGAAACCTAACAAGTTGAGCAAGATAAGGATAGGAACATGGAACGTAAGAGGAATGAGGCAGCACGGAAAACTTCCTAATGTAATCAAGGAGATGGATCGATTAAAATTAGACATCTTGGGTCTAAGCGACACAAAATGGCCTGGTCAAGATAAATACTATACCCAGAAGGGAAAAATTCTATATTACTCAGGCAGTGACCAAAATTTCGAACAGTATGGTGTTGGTGTTCTAATGAACAAAGAAATTTCAAAATATGTGACTAATTTTCTCCCGCTATCAAACCGTACAATGCTTATCCAGCTGAACGCATATCCGGTTAATATTAATATAATAGCAGTTTATGCTCCTACTGCAGATAAACCTCTGAACGAGATTGAAGAGTTTTATGGCCAAATAGATACTCTAATGCATCAAACAAGAAAACACGATATGACCCTTTTAATTGGCGATCTAAATGCAAAAGTAGGGTCAACGCTAGTACCAGGGGTAACAGGCTTGTATGGTCTGGGATCGAGAAATGATCGAGGGGATACTTTAGTGGAGTTCTGTCAGGATAAAGATCTGACGATCACAAATACCCTTTTCAAGTTGCATCCACGGCGCTTATACACTTGGACGTCGCCGAGACACAATTCTAGCCATGTAGTACGGAACCAAATAGACTACATCATAGTAAACCGACGGTTTCGGAACTCTATTATAAACGCTGTTACCTACCCAGGTGCAGATATTAATTCAGATCACAACCCTGTCGTTGTCACAATGCAGTGCAAGTTTAAGCTAATGCAAAAATGTCATAGGAGGAGATCTGTAATTGATACTAGAAAATTAAAGGAGCAAAACACTAGAGCAGCAGTTTCAAATTCCATCAATCAATGGGCAGAACAACAACTAGATAACAAAACACCGCCTCTAGAATCATGGTCGAGTCTAAAACAAACAATTGGCGATATATGTCACTCCTTATTGGCACCAAACCGTCCTGTCAAGAAGCAACAATGGATGACAGATGAAATTTTAGACTTGATGGAAGAACGCAGAATGCATAAGAACAAATATCCTAGTAAATACGCTGAGTTGGACAAGGTTGTCAAGCAGAAAATAAAATCTGCCAGGAATAAATATTTCAAGGACAAGTGTGACCGCATAGAACATCTTTTGCATAAACACGACAACTTTAATCTTCATAAAGAAGTTAAGGAGTTAGCAGGTCTGAACAAAAAACCTAACTTCAACCTACTTTGTGATGACCATGGCAAGTACCTTGTTGACCGGCAAAGTAAAATGAGTACATGGAGTGACTATATCTTGAAAATGTTTGCAGACACTTCGAGAAGTATTTGTGGATTAACCACAGATGATACTGGACCGCCCATATTAACATCCGAAGTTAAGCGAGCTTTAAAAGTAGCTAAAACAGGAAAAGCACTTGGCCCAGATAAAATACCTGTTGAGGTTCTCAAGCTGTTGGAAGACGACTATTTAGAAGCTATGACACGTCTCTTCAACCAAGTCTATGACTCGGGGCAGCTCCCGGAAGACTGGCTCAGGTCGACATTTGTTACTCTACCCAAAAAAGCAAAAGCTAAAAAGTGTTCGGAGTATCGTACGATCAGCCTCATGAGCCACGTATTAAAGGTGTTCTTAGCTATAATTCATGACAGAATACGACCACAATGTGATGAGCAGCTTGGGGAGAGTCAATTTGGCTTCCGGTCAGGTATGGGTACGCGCGAGGCACTGTTTGCTCTGAATGTACTGGTTCAGAAATGTCAAGATATGCAGAAAGACATCATTCTTTGTTTCATCGATTATGAGAAAGCGTTTGATCGCGTAAAACACGACATCTTGTTGCAGCGCTTGATCGACGTTGGATTAGATGGCAAAGACATAAGGATCATTAAAAACCTGTATTGGAACCAAAAGGCCACGGTTCGAATTGAGGAATGTGAGACGGATCTATTAGAAATACATCGTGGGGTCAGACAGGGGTGTATCTTGTCGCCCCTGCTATTTAATCTGTACTCGGAAGCAATTATATCTGAAGCACTGGAGGAGTTAGGGATCGGTGTCAAAGTCAACGGCAAAATCGTCAACAACCTAAGATATGCAGACGACACCGTTCTTATAGCTTCATCCGAACAGGACCTACAGGTATTACTAAACAGGGTGCACGAGTGCAGTTTGCGGGCTGGGCTAGATATGAACGTGTCTAAAACCAAATTCCTGGTTATATCGAAAAAACACATCAACCCCAGAATCACTATTGCAGGGAAAGACATAGAGCGAGTGCGGAAGTATAAGTACCTCGGTGCCTGGGTTCATGAAGAATGGGACAGCGAACTGGAAATACGATCCCGAATTGGAATGGGCCAGGCAACTCTTAAAAAAATGGGTAAAGTTTTATGCAACCGCCAACTATCCATTAAGCTCCGAATAAGAATACTCCAGTGTTATGTCTGGCCAGTCGTATTATACGGTAGCGAAGCCTGGACATTGAAAGCCAACACCCAGAAGTTCCTCGAAGCTTTCGAGATATGGTGCTACCGTAGAATGCTACGCATAAGTTGGACAGAGAAGATTTCCAATGTGCGGGTCCTCCAATGTGCGGGTCCTCCAGCGCGTCGGCACAAAACGCGAATTATTGCAGACCGTCAAAAAGAGAAAAGTTGCATATTTAGGCCATGTCTTGCGACACGAAAAATATGAACTTCTTCAACTCATTATGATGGGCAAAATCGCAGGCAGAAGACGAGTTGGAAGGAGGAGAAAGTCGTGGCTAAGAAACATCCGGGAATGGACCAATATTGCCAGCGTTGAACAACTTTTTCGCTTGGCACAGGACAGGAAAGGGTTCGCTGAGCTGACGGCCAACCTCCAGTAATGGAGAGGCATTGGAAGAAGAAGATTTATACGACGGTCTTATGGGGCAGGAAAACATCGTGATGCAATCTGCACATATATATATGAGAAGACATTCAATGATATGTGTGACGTCAACAAACACTCACTTGGCCAGCGTGGTTGACTATGGTCTAATCACCCTTAACTTAGGGTAGGCTCCGAGCCCCTCGGTGGGGACCTATAGAGAGCTGATGATGATGGTGATGATGACCGTCGTAGGGATATTATGACATGTTCAAACATTATTTTACTTCGTAAATATTTTACTCGCACAGTTGGCCAAGCAAAAAAAAAACACCATGTAATCTAAAACGTTTTGCCATTACAAACAATGTAACATACATTGCATATCCGCTTACTAAAAAGAAATGTTTAATACTAAACTTCAATAAAGTTATACATTTATTAAAGCCTTACTGCTACTAGCGTTTGATATTAAAAGTTTAATATCCGTCGAGAGTGATTTCATTTTAGGTCTACGAGATATAAAAATAATGTGTATTTTGAAAATATAAATATAAAACTTATGTGTATAATACTATTAATTTATTCATGATGGATTAAATGCGGATGGTAACATAGGTAGAGGAAGACCGAAAAAAGTGTAGATGGATTATGTGAAAGAGGATATGCGTAAGGAATGAATTAAGATATGAAAGCTAATAGAAATGCATGGAGTAGTAAATATTATGCACACTCCATAAGGAAAAAGGCAGGTTGATAACATTGAAAAAACCGCAATTAATATTATCATTATTTGATTGCAGCCAAACCCAACTAAAACCTACTGTATTTCAGAAACATAGCTGATTTAAATTCCACACTACAGAACAAGAAGTTACGACTTTCCGAGAACAATAAAAGGTCATGATAATGAAAAATCGAATGCTTTTGATGCGATTAGATCACGAGGGACAGTGATAGCCGTCAACGTTTCATGCGAGCCAATCCATCACACGCCGAAAGATTTATGAACGCTAAAAGCCAATAACAAAGTCATGCACGCTGGATTGGCCGGAAATATTAATGTTTTCGTCATTTTTAGAACAGGCTATACCAGTCGTAATTACAGGCTAAAAATACCAACTGATAGATCTAACAAATTAGCCTTTTTATTTCTTAAGGATCAGAACCAAAGTATTATATTATTATGACCTGTTATCCTATAGAAATAATCAAGTAAAATATTTTTAGAAATACTTAAGTTTTTTCTTACAAGAAATTCTAGCTCGCGGAAATCGTGTGTTTCAAAACTTTTTTCACATTTTGCGGATAAAATATGTACACCAACTAAGAGAACGTAACTTTCTTTTTCATTTTAACCAAAGCAAAGCTTTGTTGAATGAAATCTTACAACTCCTAACGTAAAGTGCGCTAAAAACTTTTAATTTTTATGAAAAATTTAAAATCCTAGCATTTTTTATAACTTCTGACCGATGCTTATGGAAAAGGGATCGTAATTTAATTAAAAAAATAATCATATGACTTTTAAAAGATTTTATGCAAATAGTATCTAAGTATATGTTATATCAAGTTAATAACAATAGGGAAATACATATAGAGCTAGTGGACGTTGAATAAGTAAATGCACGAACTGTGGGAGGTTCCATGACAAGCGCTATCGTGCCGTCTCAGTTCCATTTGCAATATTGATGAGATCGATTTCTCATTATGCGCAAGTTAATTCACACCGGCCATACTAATTCTACACGTGTCAATGAATGCTATGTAGAAATGTTAGTTTTTGTAGTACTTTATTTACATAATGACCAGCTTTGAACTACATAGTTATAGAAAAATTTGAATTTAGAACGAACGATTTTGAAACTAAAATATAAGTTATTAAATTTTTAAATATAAAGTTATAAATGAGAATGTTTTGTTACCAAATAAATGGAATGACATTGAAAAATAGAACGGCGTCCTTAAATTTCATTATCGGACAATATTCAAAGACAGTCAAATTAGGGATTCCCATCTTCCAAATGGAATTATTCATGAATACTCCAATCCAATAAAGAGGGTTCTGTGAATCGATTTGTTTACTGCTGGCGAGAATTCGTATCTAAAAATATTTCATATGTTCTCGCAAGAACAAAAATATGTGGTCAAAATTGATCAAATAGTAGATATAGAATTTCAACATCAAACAAAATCTTCATCACTTCAAGAACACAAATGAGTAAAACTTCGCTTAATTTACATAGAGATCAGAAAACATTTAAATAGAAGGCAAGCAGTAACGTCGAGTTCACCACTTAAAACACAAAGATAACAAACTTTGGTAGCAGTATAAGAATAATTAACGCCAGAATTACAAATGGCCGTACTGGCAGCTTACAAAATTGTTGGAAAATGCTATTTTCGAAGGCAATGGTTTGAGGCTTGGGTCAGGTTCGAGAGAAATAACGAGCACTGTTAAGCGTGTAACTTTGTAATGGAGCTGTCGAAATGGCCAATCAGCCTGCGAACAACGATTTAATCAACGCCACTGCAATTTTTCTCTTCCCGAGTAATTAAGTTTGCAATCATTACTTAAACAATCTCAGGGAACAAATTAAAATGTTCTCCTTTGAAATATAACCGTACCTTCCGAGAATACTACGTTGCGTCTTCGCCCTACATTTGTCTTTGTTTCCGAAGTTTTTGCTTAAGAATCATAAAATGTAATTTGAAGAAATGTGCTTTGTTGAATTAATTTACCGTAGTACTTTACTTTCCAAATTTGCTTCGAGGAAGTAAAAGGAACCAGATTCCAAAGATACATTTAAATTTTAAACGTATGTTTTGTTTATTTTTATATAATTAAAAAATATATATAAATTTTTTGCAATTTCTTCCATTTCATTTTAATTAGGAAATTAATTGAGGCTAAGAAAACAAAACTCACCCTCTTTAAAGTACATTCTGCAACTTAATTAAACTGCATTTTTCTATGCTTCTAGTTATCATTTTAAAATGAACCTTCATAAAGCTCAACAAGGTTTTATTTATCAGTTCTCCGAGATCCCTCTAATTAACACTCTGATAAGTGGATTAGCAACTAAGAGCTCAGAACGCTCAATTTGAATTTTCAATTGCACACTTGATTGAGGTCATCATCTTTACCTTTGCGATCTATTTTTAATTTGATTTTCAAATTAATTTTTTCTTCAACCACTGCAATATTTAGTTTAAAAGGCTTATAATTATAAGTAAAAGTATTTTTGTGTAGTAACATTAATTCTAAGCTTGAATCCAAGTTCAGATAATATGTTTTAGTACCTACATGTATTATGGATGCGTACTCTGTTGAACAATGTCATAACAAACCTGAAAAGATGTGACTGCTAGCTGCGAGAGACCATCAACATAGGGTCCGAGCACTGCATGTTCGCGAACGCGCAGCGAGCGTCGCGTCGTCTCCGGGTCCAACAGGTCATGCACGCGCTCGTTGTAGATCTCCATGTACGACACCTCCACCTGGAACATCACACCTATTACATCACATGCTTTATAAAATAACGAAAGCAAATACAAACGAAATAGAATGTGACAAACAAGAAAGAGGCCATCTCAAAACATTAAAATAGTGAAGTAACATTAACATCAGCAATGAGTTAGTACATTGAATATTTCAATGTTCAACAAATGTTTGTTTTGGTTTTTAATCAGTCTAAAACGATTAGGAAATTTCCTATTTTATTTTTGATGCACAATACTTAATAGAATTTATAATAAAATAGAGCTCAAAGTAAAAAATACCCCTAACAGTTCAAAGTGACCATTACTATAATTACATTCCTCGGAAAATTTGCATGTAGAAGGATCGCAGCTAAAATAAGCATGAATGGAATCCCTCGGGAGATTTATTCCTAGCCCTGAATACCGTTACTGCGCCAAAGGTAGAAAATAAGGTAAAATATTATGAAATAAAACACGCTGCCGAATATATTATACATATATTGTATAATACATAGAGCTGAAAAAATCATTATGAAAATTAAAATTTTAACATAAATCATTACTTAACACAACGTATCGAAGAAATAACTTAAAAATATATTTGTGACTAGCTGTCGCCCGCGGCGCCGTCCGCGTGGAATGAAACAAAACCTAATTAGGCTATTATTCGAATTTTTCTCACCTTTTAAACCTTTCCTAGACCTCTACGAACATTTCAAGATCAGGATAAGATAAAAACGGCTGAACCGCTCTTGAGTTTTAGCGAGACTAACGAAACATAAACGAGTTGTTTAAGTCTAATAAAAGGTTTGTAATCACTCTTAAAAAACGTTGACAGTTGCAAAGTTTAAGCGTCATCCTTCCGAATACCCACGGGCAATGGCTGTACTTTCACGGTGACAGTTGACAGGGAGATAGGCGCTGTCCTCTAATCCTGAGGAGGGTATTTTTCCTGTCCAATAACATGAAATGGACTCAAAGATTTTATTTTATTTTTAGTCGAAAACATTTTAAGTTAAAACTCGCCTATCCTTGCGCAAAAAGCTTTATCATTTCATTTACACATAAAAAAGTTTCTACATACACAAAGAAAAAAGCGTTTCCTTGGAACTCTTGCAGATATAGACGATCTTGTGTGATTGTTCACACTTATAAACCAACCCTCTGCGAATTTCCCGCCTCATCGTAATGAGAAATAGCAATTTATTCATAAATAATCATAGTTGTTTACTGTACCTTATATGTGAGTGCGGGCGGTGACTGCTGCCTGGCAATCCTCTCGAAGAGCGCGTCGCAGAGGCGCGGTATGATGCCCCCTTCGTCCGCGCCCGGTGCTCCCATCATTGTATACGATTTGCCGGAGCCTGTAACAACATCTGTCTTTAGCAACACAATAATAATTCGTTAAAGACAGCTGATTGAGTTTGGCTACGATAAACGGTACAGTTCGTATACGGCAGCCATCGCAGTCTTGTAACACTCGCAACGAAAATCATTCGTAAGATATTGACTTACTGAAAATAGAATTAAAATCACACAGACTAACCTAAAGTCTAGTTGCTCTCCTTAAGGTAAGTTGTATCATTCAAAAGGTTTATGTAGTAGGTACAGGTTTATGTGGTAGGTTGTACCTAAGAAACATTTATAAAATTTTAGTCCTTAAAATCTTAAAGTTACTTTTGATATAAGCTTCGAAGTCTTAAATTTAATATTTAAGAAGTGTCTGTAAACGATCTCTTAGAAGGAGTTGTTTATCATGTTGTTAACCAGCTTTACGTAATATGATAACAAAAGACGAACTTTGAACACAAAAGTTACGACGTCAAAAGGAGTTTATTTTATGTTTATTATGTTATCATTAAAATATTGAGACGATTAATTAAATTAATTAGAATTAAATTAAGGTTGTATAATAGAAGAGCACTTATTTACGAACTTTCATAGGGTTTCTTCATAATGAATACGTTTAAACTAAAAACTAATTCAAAATTGTAACCGTATCTAAAAATTTCACTTAGCTAATTTAATTTAAAAGTCTACATATAATATTAAAGTGAAATTCTCTTCTATAATTGTTTCAAATTGTCGCAGCCGAGTTGAGACGTAATGTGCAAAACTTTAATTAACGTCCCGCTGTCGAACGCGCACTTCAAACCAACTAAAATAAACAACTTGTTATTTTATCTACAACTTTGTAGACATTGGAAAACCTTCTATCGCTAAGTTTAGTTACTTTTTAAACAAATATGTTAATTTAAATAGAATATTCTTATTTTCATTTCTATTTTATTCATTACGGAGTGAATTTTTATATCTGAATCTAAATATCTCTAAAAATCTAAAAATGAGAAATACATATATTACATTATATAGATAATATATTAGAGATTATTATAGAGATAATATAAGACATATAGATAAATAAACAGTATATGTGTTTAAAGTAAGGGATTTAAACGCAATCCTGCAAGCACTCGCGTGCACCATTTCCATTTCAGTCTAGCTTAGGAAAGCTTTTGATCGGGATTTTCTTTAAAAGATACCTAATATTTTATTATGCGTATAGTCCATCTTGATTAACTACAGTTATCCTAAACATTGTTTATTATGGGTGTATTTTTATATTGATAACATGTTTCGACACAAATCGCTAAATTCCGATAATCGCAAACATATAAAAACTTCATATTCACATCGCAAAAACACAAAAGCTACATTCAGATTGCATTCGCATAACTTTTTCTGTGGCTTTGTATAAACTTTTCATGTCGTAAACTACGATATAAATCTGAGATGCAACACAATACCTACTCAAAGTTCTGTCTTCCGTTACACTTCTGTAATGGAAATATCAACTTTAACTGCAACATTTACTTATTATTGTTTTTCAGTACTGGGGAAAGGACAAAGGTCTCAGAAATTTTAACCGTACTCAAGCAGTCTTGACGTAGAAAAAATATCACTTTTGGTGTGTAAGTTAACTAACAAAACATTAATGCTACTACAAAACACCTAATAGGGTACGTAGCGTCTATAAATGGCTCATTTAGTTCACCATCTATATGGACTTCCTAGTAGAATGCACTAGACCGATAGCAAAGAGCTTTTAGAATCCTCCGACTGTGTGGTTCACTAACTATTTGTAATGAGTTCGCGTACGGACGAGGGATGTATGTATGTGGGGGGAAGTATGATGCTTCATGCGGTACACTACATTAGACCTGATGGATACATACAATACGTAAACAGACAAAAATAATATATTTAAATATGCAAATATCTTAGAAAGGTTATTATTTTTATTTAATTCGTGCAAGGAGTCGAGGGCGACAGTTAGTATAACATAACTACTAAATCCAGATTATAATTGGGTAAATGTTGAACGATTTCTCTTTAAGAATACACTCTTTGATTCGGAATAAAACACAAAAGAGCGTTCTTTTGTGAGTCAATCTCATCACAAAGGAATAAAAGGAAGGACTTTTTACAGCGGTGATCTATTTCTGAATAAAGTAACATTTATGACTTAACTTTTATCACAATCAAAGTTAAAAGAATGCAGTGATCATAAAATCATATCTTTAAAACGATAAAAATACACCTTTTTATAAGAGTTTAAATATTACTTTAATATTTGTCAAACATGAGTAACATGTGTATTAATCATTATTGTATTACATTGAGCTAATTAACTTATCAAGGTAACATGATTCTATCGAAGACAGTATAGCAAACATTGAATCCTTGAAATAATATTTTCCAAAGATTGCATATCTTGCACTATACAAATTAAATGACAAAATAGATGAGAATCGATCAGGTATGCGTGTGGGAGCGTTATCTACAACATAAATTAAGAGCATAACTAGCCACGCGTATGCATTCAAGGAGCAACCACCATTATTCTTCGAGACGATTTTACGATAACGTCAACTTTAGTATCCTAAACATAAACCATGATGTAAATTGTTTGTCGTACGTGGCGATACAAGTCAGATTTATTAAAGTATTCTTTCTCTATTACTACATGTGCCAACGCAGGGCGAATTACGAACATAATATCCAATCAAAATAATTCAATGTTTAAAGTAGACTCTACAATATTAGTCATGAAAATTCATTAGGAATACGGAAATAGAGAACCAACCGTCCTATCAAATCACATAGTCATTATGACCTCACTTAAACAACTGTTACTGCTTGGGGCTACTAGAACTTAAATTCGCTTTAACTGAAAAGCTGCAGAGATTTGTGCTAGCGGTAAACGAACTGGAACAAAATGCATTGACCTTTTAAAGTTTTAATACAATTGTAGTTGCGGCACTCGGAGCCAAAGTGTTACTCTAGATTGGCAGAGATAAAATAAAATAAGATCTTGGAGAACAGGGCTTGGAGTATGAAAGTCAGGGCGTGACTTCAGCCTCGTGTGAGGGATGATCGCGCTCTCTGGCGCACAGCCAAATGCCTACGCCTACATCTACCGGGAAAGTTAAGCTCTATCCTATACTATTCTCTTTAATACACAGCACTGCAACATAGTTTCAAACAGAATATTTTAATCGTATTGCATTATGTAAGTTTGAACAAGAGATATAGTAGATGTTCATAAGCCGGGCTTTGTTGCTATTTCTCGCTTATAAACCTTTATTTTTAGAGATTTCTGCTATGCAAAATATACACCTGTTCACTAAATATGTATCTTTTTCTAGATAAAAGTAAAGCTAATTTATTAATGTTTTTTTTTCTCACGTTGAACGTTATCGGCGCAACACTAGCCTTATTCAAATATCAACGCTTATGTTCCCTCACTAATCAATCTGACACTCGACTTGGTAACAAAAGCGAGCCATTCACGCCAAAGAATTCTAACTAATAATGTCTAAAAGTCCAAAGAAACACTGGAGCATATATCAAACTATTAGAAAATACTGAACTACAAATTTCAATGTCAATAAGAATCAAAGAAGATTTTGTCTTAAAATGTGCCGCGGTCAAAATCCACCACTGATATTTACTAACTAATAAACTCACGATCAAAAACACGGGAATTACAAACTCTATCGTATCAAACCTAAGAGCCGTGACATATCCGGCGGACACTCTAGCTACAGCTATAACATCAACGATGCAAAGCACCCAACCTATCATTAGTACCAACTTAGTTGACAATAAACATCCGTATTTACTATTATATTAACATTTGATTAGCACTGCAGTGTCGTATTTTGCAGCAATATTTAATTAACGGACACGGCAGGGGCGGAGGCTGTCCGGTCGTAATTGGGAATCATTTAACGATCATCTCTCGTATATAGAGAGGAGCGCTGCAGCGGGGACAATTAACGAATGCAAACACTCACCCTCCCAAGCTATGCTTTGGTCCAAGTCTTACGAGGAAATTTATTTTAATTTTAACTTTCCTTATTCGTTCTTTAATTTATTTTTCTATCCGAATATCATTCACATATTAACGTGGTAATTACTTATGGTTAAGTATATAAAGACAAATTTCCATGTATAATTTTTACATAACAAACTAAAATGTATTGGCATCTCACAAAATTGGTTAACATCGCAATTTCTTAATTAGGTTTGATATCAAAACAAGTCCTATCTCCAGCCCTATCTTTAGTCAATTGGAAGAAATCGGTACATTAAAATAAAATAAAAAAATTGTAAAGTACAATAAAAAACAATAAGAATGCAGTATCTACTTTATTATAAAGTTAAAAATAGTGAAGATTTTACATAAGATCAGCTTAAAACTTGTTCCACAGCGTGGCTGACACAAAGCTGGCACCTGCGATTTTAGGTCACCCGGACGCCGTACCTGCTTAAAACTCTTTTGTTCCCGTTCCCACGTAGCTGCGCGACGCATTACATACAAAAATATATTTTAAAGACGAGACTTGTTCAAAGCTTTTCTGTTTTAATCAAACGTTATCCTTGTTATTATAGCGACAAAGTAATTAACTTTTTACAGTATACTATTGCATATGTAACCTGATTGTAATGTAGTTTGATATTTAACAGTCATTTTTGGTATTAATTAATTAATCACATTAATTGTATTATTGAAAGACTCCTACGGCGTAACAAGTAGCTCTACGCCGTAGAACCAATAATATCTACGGTTGATAAATGTAACCCAATCATAAATATCTCATGGAATCAGTTACAAGACAATGGTCAAATACATTTAGACTAAAAATATCACATTTTTGATCCGTGCCAATGACTGAATTATCAAAGACAATGGGAATGACGACATGTTTTAGGCAGGGAATTTGGTGTAGAAACGAACAATTATTAACTTAAAAAAACTCCACAAGCTTTTAGTGGGTACGAGTATTTTTGTACGTAC